TCGATCATTCATGCTTGTTTGGAGCTTAATGTTATTGTGTTGTTCACTTAGTATGGTTATTGTTCTTTGGAGGTGAAGAAAGCAAGAAGCTTGAAAAAATGTCACTTAAGGCATCTCCGTATTCTCTCCGCGACGCGGAGAGGAATTATAATTTGGCTCGTGAAATCAAATTCCAAGCAAAGCACTCCGTGCCCTCTCTGCATCGTGGAGAGGGATTCCTAAATTAATTCAACAAAGCGAGTTTGAGGCAGAACACTCCGTGGAGTGCCCACGTCGCGGAGATGAGTAATTGTGTGCGAATGGGAATTTAAAGATGCCTCCGCGTCGCGGAGATGAGCAATATGATAGATTAATGAACAACTTACCTCCATTCCTTCTTCCAAAATCAGTACAACAAAAACACAAGACTACTAATACAATCACTCTGAGACTACTAACATAAGTATTTCCATATAGCGAAAATCACGAGTGCAATAACGCATATGATCCTGATTTTTCTTGCCCGCTTCCTCTCTTGTTCATAGGATTTGATTCTTTTCAATAGAACCCATATGATCCATTTTGCTTGAGGCGGTATTTCATCATCGTACCAACAAAAAGAATCGCATCCACCTCTTCGCTACACAAATTATCAAAATAATTAAACTATAATTAGCGATTGACAACGATTTGTTTAACCAGATTAGAATAATGATAAAAAGCTTACCTTTGTATTTTTGTAGCAAAAAAATCTACGTCCTGTATTAAGTTGTATCCATGAAGTTTTCAATTCAACATTGACCCCACATCGACAGAACACATTTGCATCTGAAGAAGTTGAAATCGACAAATTGGACATTTCCTTCGCTGTGAAGAAGACGAATGAAGATTTTTTTTTTGATCTCCACTGTAGTAGCAACAATGGTGAGATGTGGAGAAGAAAGAGATGATAAATAAAAAAAGGGAAGAATCTAGGGTTGGATAAATAAAAGGGGAAGATTTTGACCGTTAAGTATGTTAAAGTGTGGCAATCAGACACATCAGCCTTTTTTTCTCACTTCACGCGCTCAAAAGGAGTGCCTCACACGATAAGTGCCAAGTCAAACAGGTGTGTCTGATAGATACACTTTTTGAGTGGTTTAAGTGTTCAATAGGAAGGAGTCCTTGTTAAGGTGTCTATAAGGAAAATCCTTACAAGTTCAAGGGGCCGCTTATGCGTTCTGCCTATAATGTATCTGATACATGATGGGTGTGACTCAATTCTTAAGCACTCCATGCATCTATCATACACACCATTACACTTATTTATACGCTAATAATTTTCAACGAATGTATCTTTATAAATAATGTATCATTATTATTATATCATAGATCATAATTAACAAATTTAATAAAAATCAAAATCACCAGCATACAAGTTCTAAAAATAATAATGTATCATACAAATAAAAAATATAAACGTATCATCGTTTATAGATCTAAAAAAACCAAACACATTACTTCACAAAACAGATCAAATACTCCCATACCTTTGTCTATCATATCTCTTTACTTTGCAATTGAAGTTGTGCTTTATCTTATATTTCTCCATCACATATACGAGTGTTGCTTTATCCTTATATAATTGACTTGTCTTCACCTCTATACTGTTTGAATCAGTTATGTAATTTGTAACTTCTAATTCTGGAATATAATATGAATCACAAATTCTTGATTCAACCACCGCAAGAGCTTTTGTATCCTGTGTTGTGCCTTCAATACACGTAATCTCTCCGCATGTTCCATCAAAGTTATGTATATCACCACCAATATTTTCAGTTGTATCAATGTATAATGGATACATTGCAAATCCTGACTCATTTTTTTCACTTCTAAATATAGTTTAACACCCATGTCGTTCTTAATTTTCAACGGAGACTAGTTATCTTCTACAATGTATCGAATTTCAATGTTTTTCCTTACCACATCGATATATAACTTGGCTGAAATTGCTGCCTTGAGATTCAAAAATGAAATTGATTGTCCAACAACGCTCCCATCACTTTTGTAACCTTCATAATTCACTCCGCTCACCCAAATTCCTGAATGCCTCAGCAGAATCGATATATTCATCATGTATCAGAATATTTTCAAAGTTTACTTGAACTTATCACTGTTTCAAAATCGATGGTTGTTCAAAAATTGCTCTTCAATGGAGAAGATGTAATTTTGAAATTTGAAATGTGTGAGTCAATTACCTGTTAGGATATGGACTGTTTAGGATCAACTAGGCATAAATCAAGAAAATTAAATTTTACGTTTTTTTTCCTTTTTTAGCGCAACAAGAAACTGTTTAGTTTGTATCAGTTATAATGTATCTGAAGGTTAGCTATGTATCCGGCTGCCTACCTTTTAAAGAGATATTTGTAAAATGTATATTAATTGGAATAGAATGTATTTAGATCTTACACTATGTGGGATTCCTTTAATTTTTACTTGAAATATTGTTATGGGCATATCTGAAGCTTCATATCCTTGTCCTTCAATGGAGTAGACCTTCCTTGGATGATATCAATCTCCTCTTTCTTGAAGATAATTTCTCATCGAATTCAAGTCTACATCAACATGGAAAAGATCATAAACATGAAAAGTAGCACTAACTTGAAACTCACCATAAAGATAAAATATATAAGCATGGTCTCCAATCCTTTCAAGAAATTTGTATGAACCACTTCTTCTAGGATCTAGCTTGATCTTCGTTTGGGAAGGAAATCTTTCCCTTCTCACATGCATCCAAATCAAGTCCCTAATTTTAAAAGTAACATATTTTTTCCTTATTTCTTCGCAATATAACTTTTGTATTCTACTTTTCAATTGGAAGCCTTGTTTGTTCATGAATCTTCTTCACTATGGCAAGTAGATACTACTCATCATTGATGTAAGGATTATGCTATTGGTTCCCAACCTAAAGAAGAATTGAAGCTACAAAACAAGATGCAAATATTTTGGGCATTACAAAAAGGAATCATACTGAATAAGTAATTTTGGATATATGAATAAGAACATGGATTATCTTCCAGACTTTCTCATAGACTATAACATACATGCTACTACCAAAATACTCTTCAAAAGCTACAGAGGCTTACAACACACAAATGAAGTAGGCTAAAACTGAAAATTATAGTAGAATTTTGAATCGAAAAAGACGAAGAGGTTAAATTTTCAACTAGTGTTAGATTGGAAATTAACAATGTGTTCCAAATTAGGGCATGAAGAAAACAAGGACTCAACTTCAATTCGAGCTAGGACCTGAATTCATAAATCCGATTAGAAGAGAAATCGAAGCCATACTGAAATTGTGAAATAGTTTAAGCTTCAATTCTAACAGCTTTGTTTTCTCATGAGATGATTACACGCGCTAAAATTGCTCTGAATCTTGCAAACCATGAATAAATTATCAACAACTTAATTGAACTTCTAATTATGAAGAAATCCATGTAGTTACCAGTGAAGAAGGAAGAATACCAACATAGCAGCGTTGTTGATCGGCAGTGGACATGAATTTGGAGGTCTGGGTAGTGGTGGTGGATACGGTTGTTTTTGTGGTCGTGGTGAATATGGTGGCTCTAGTGGCGGTGAATATGATGGCTCAGGTGGCGGTGAATAAGGTGGCTATGGTGGCTCTGTAAGCGGTGAATATGGTGGCTCAGGTGGCGGCAAATAAGGTGGCTACGGTGGCTCTGTAAGCGGTGATTCTGGAGGAGGACAGCGGCTCTAATGGCTACCGTCTTTTATTGCTTTGAGGGAATAAATAAAATACCAAAATGCTTTCAGTTATTGACTTTTAGTGGTAATTGTCTTTAATTGCCACTGAGAAGATATTTTTTTACGGCCAATGTGAATTTGCACTATATTTCATTTCAGAGAACAAATTAGTGGCAATTATTTTATTGGCAATTATTTTTTTGCCGCTAAATAATTGCCACTAAAATTACTTTTTGATGTAGTGCTTACATTTAAGGTGAATAGTATTTAATCTCAATAAAATGACTTATGTGCTTATATCACCCACTATTTCATCAAATTATGTGACTTGCAATAGTTTTTCAGGAAAAGAAAACAAAATCTAAAGCCATTAATCCTCAATGAACTTAATTAATGTTATACAAACATATATCTTAATACATATTGAATCTAAATAATTCATTTTGAAGCAGAAGCAGAAGTTGTAACTTGAGCACGAGCACAAACTCGGGCATGGAAAAAAGTAAGCAACTCATCTCTTCTTGAAGGTAGATATTCCTTGACTTGGCTACAATTAATATATTCATCTCTCCAAGCACAAAATTTAGGAAATTTTTGACTCGTCACTAATACAACTCCAGAGGCTTCTTCATAAACTCCTAGCCAAAGTGCAACCATATTTGCAACAATATCAGCAAACCCAAATTTGTCACCTACAAAGAACTTCTTATCCTTGAGTTCATTATCAAGAACTTTCAACATCTCATAAACTTCCTCTTTACCTTTCTCTTGCTCATCTCCTTTGCGAAAGAAAGTATTCACCACAGCGGTCACCTACAAAACACTCAAAAAATTAACAACTTTCATGACGATACTACGTCTCAGTCTCAATCTCATGCAAGTTAGATTATTATACAAAATTATGTAAAGTATACCAAGCTCACTAGAATATCTTATATATGTCGTATGAAGATGAATTTACCTTATCATCAAGGAACTTAGCCCAGAAACGAGCTAAAGCACGGTCATAAGGATCTTTAGGCAAGATGGAAGGGCCATCAAATGTCTCATCAATGTATTCGAGAATGACCATAGACTCAACAATGGGCTTGCCATTGTGAATGAGCACTGGGATTTCTTTGTGAATTGGATTTGATTGAAGAAGTAGAGAGCTCTTGTTGTTTCTATCTTCTTCTATATATTCATATTTGACTCCCTTAATCTTTAGAGCCCACTCAACTCTGTGACTAAATGGGCTATACCAAAAACCTAGCAACTTTACTTGTGCCATATATATCAAAACTTTGGTTATGATTTGCTAATTTACTATGTAAAAAGGAAATCTTAGTGATGATTCTCTCTTGAATTATGGTCTTATTTTATAGTAGGAAAAATCAATGAAAGCGTCTTAGCACCAAAAGTTGTCTAAGACTTGAAAAAACAAATGATCATTAAATTAATGCATGCTTGTCCAAATACGTAAGCACTTAGCTAACTTTTTTTTTTAATCATACATGCTGATGTTATGGTACCTAAGAGATTTCATGTACAAGAAACTTATAATGACAGGTTTCAACGGAAATTCCAAGCATTTTTTCTTTTAATAATTTTCATGCGGCGTGAATTTAAAATAGCTAAACTAATGAGTATCATGCACAAGGAGATTATGCCAAAAACAAATTTCATGTATGTCAAAATAATCTCTTTTTTTGTCATAATTTATATGATTCACTTTTTTCTTTTACTCTTTTACTCTGTGTTACTTTTCTTTTACTCGGTGCAAAAAATAATAATATATTTTTATTTTTAGTAACAGTTTAATTTTAAAATGTTGATTTAGAGTCGCACAAATATCTATGAGTTATTTTAGACAAACTTTTTTTTATAATGATAGAGGCACAACCAACAATAATCGTGTGAGGCTCCACTCTTTATTCGACACTTTGATAGTGGGTCATTTCCTTACTTTTTTTTTAACTTCTCTTCCACTCACTCCTATTTTCTTTCATTTTTCTTTCTCCTAACAAATATTCAATTCTCAAATACACAATTAAATAATTAATACATTTGATATAAAAAAAACAGACAAACATCTTTTCTGTTATATTTACTGAAACACTTTTAGAACTTTTAATATTAAAAATAAGCTTAGTGTTCAATATTTTTCTAATAGAATCAAATTAACTCAAAACATATAACGATCAGATCTTTAATTAATATATATTATTAACTTAGATGTCATGTAACAATTAATAAACTGATCATGATTGAAAAAACTTTTTTTGTAATTAGAAATCTCAAGGTACCACGCAAACGCATACATATATTCTATTTAGAATATATCAAAAATTGACAAAATAAATTGTGAAATTATACTTTTCATAACGATTATCAACCTATTTGAGTTATATTTGTTCTGATTTTTTATCTTGTTTAAAATTATATAAATTATTTTTTTCATCATAACCATATTTTAAAATAAAAATGACAATGGGGCATAACAGGGTAAGGTGCGACAGATTCATAAATGATTTTTAAAAAATTGTGTAAGGTGAGGCGGGTCATATAGTGAAATTTAAGTTTTTTGAATTAAAATTTAAAATACTTAATTTATTCTTCAAGAATCAATCGGTCCGGTACAATTTTTAAATTAACTACTCTTTCTATTATTATTTTAATAATAATAATAATAATAATAATAATAATTATTATTATTATTATTATTAGTATTATATCAATCAGTTTTTATATATTATTATTATTATTATTATTAATAATAATAAAAATAGTATTTATTTTTCTATATATCAATAAGTTTTCACATTCACTGACAATATATCTTTTACTAGCATTTTTCTATTGAGTATTTAAAAAATATAATATCAAATAAGAAAAACGTATGCATATATATGAACTAAAACAGAACAAAAAAAAACAATGGAATAATAAAATTGATTTAATATTTTTTTTTGGTTGAAAAACGCAAGTAATTGAGAAGATACTGATTTTTTTAGTTAATTTGATATTATTAAAAATATTGAATAACAAAATTACTTTTAATATTCAATCCCAAGGCTTTTTTCAGTTATTTTGACCAAAGAAGATACTTATTAATATTTTTATTAAATACCAACTGTTTAATTATGTATTTAGAGAGTTGGATATTTATTAAGAGTAAAAAGAATAAGAAAATGAAATAAAAGAGGGGTGAGTGGAAAAGGGTGGTAAAAAAAAGTAAGAATATGGATCCACTATCCAAGTGTCAAACAAAGAATGAAACCGCATACAACTATTGTTGGTATCATTGTAAAAATTTCATTTTAAACCACAAATTTAAAAAATTTAAACTAGATAACATATATAGCTCTGCCCTCCAATTTGAAATTGCATAAGCATCTCATGTTTCTTATGAAGCAATATTCCAGACCATTCAAAACTTGCAATAATTTGAAGCCATAAGAGATGAAGTGCAACGGTGCAAGGATCGTTTGTTAAACAGAAAAGCACTTAAATGCATCCCTGCAATTAAGTAGACATGAAATGTTTAGTTCATGAACTAAGCTCACATTAAAGTGATCACCTTATACGTAAATAATTATACTAGCAAACTGACCTGTTGAGACATTGAAATGTTCATATACTCAGCTTTATAAGCCGTTCCAATAAAATAATTGGGGAATCGACTCCTGTAAGTAATAGCTTTTTCAATTTAGGCATACTGACATCATCCGTGCATGTTACTTCAGACAACCCATTTGGGTTATGAATATGCAAAACTTCAAGTTGCAGAAAGCTATAACCATTTGCCTCGCCCGAGAGATCCATCTTTTCTTCATTATACTTGCAGCCAACCATTTTAAGTTTTCTTAATTTGGGCAATGTCTTAAGTACCGCTAGTAGATAACTGTCTACCATAAAGTAGACAAGAGTAAGCTTGGCGAGATTTGGAGGGAATGATCCAGAGTTCAAGGCCATTGTTCCCCAAACATTCAAATGCAACTGAACAATATTTGGATAGGATGACAAGTTTATTTGCTCACTCCGGTCACTGAAAGACGCGAGCTTCAAAACCTCAAGCGCCTTTGGCACAGGACTAAATGTTGATAATATCTTAACGGTGGAATCAGACACTCCCAGTATACCCAGTTTTCTTAAATTGATCAATCGGTGCAACAACCTCGGTTCAAAAAATTTATCAGGTATCCACATCAAGGTTTGTAGATTATTAGGAGGCAATGAGTACATGTTTGGGTAAAATGAGCTTATAGAAAAGCAACTGTTAGATGCTTGTCCATAATCTTTATAACAAAGATGTCTCAATTGTTTAGACTCCCAAACACCAGAAGGAAGTTGAATGAATCTATGTCCATCAATATCTATGGCCTCTAGACGTGTGAGCTTGACAATACTATTTGGCAGTTTTCCAAAAATATCCCCCTCCAATCTCAAATGGCGTAAGCAAGTCATGTTCCCAAATTTGCTTGGGATAGTGACATTTTCTTTAAGATATTGAGGCACGACTACAACCAATGTGTGCAATAATTTGAAGTCAAAATGAGCTAGATGAGAAAATATGGAAGGGTTTTTTGTGAAACAGAAAAGTACACGAAGCTTCTCAAGCTTTGGATTTGAACGGAAGAACTCATCCATGACATTGTCAGAGTAGAATGTAATCCTTCGCAGCCTAGCAACATTGCCGGGATCACCAAATGCATTATGCTCGGTGTGAAAGAAGTTACTTTCCTTAGCCAAGTCCACACACAAACTATGTAACAAGTCATGTATGCGACAACTTGAAATTCTTCCATTATATGTCCTTTTGGCAAGTTGAATCAAGTTTCTAGAAACCAAATCATTTAGGAAATCCTCCGCCAAATCCTCAGCCTCTCGCCTATTACCACTGTTTACTACAATCAACTTCTCTGCAATCCACATATTTGTCAAATCAAAAGCACGAATTTCATGGCCCTCAGGGTAAAGGCCGAAGTACAAGAAACATGGCCTTGATGCAATAGGCAAGTCATTGTAACTCGGAGCCAATGCCTTAGCACATCCATCTTGAACTTTATGGCCCATACTCTCAAGTACTCTGTTCCACGCATGTTCTGTTCTTTCTCTTGCTCTTAACATGCCTGCAATCACCACTATGGCTAGCGGTATACCTCCACATCTCTCAACTATACTTCTACCAATATTTACCAACTCAGGTGAAGCATTGGCCCAATTAATATTTTCATCAAAATTAAAGATTTTCTTGGTAAAGAGCTCAAAGCTTTTTTCCGATTCTAGGGGTTGCAATGCATGGAGGGAGAATTCCCCTCCTATGTATCTGCCTACATTACTATTTCGAGACGTGATAATTATTCTACTGCCAACTTTTGAATCACATTCGGGAAGGACAAGTTTCAGATCATCCCAAATTTCAACATCCCAAATGTCATCTAGGACGATAACATACCTTTTTATTTTCAAGAGTGATCGCAGGTTGTCCTCCAAATGTTCCTTCCTTTTCTTTTCCGTCAGTCCAACTTCCTTGGCTATGCCGAGTAAGATTTCTCCCGCTCTTGGCTGTTGTGAAACGTAGACCAGTCCAGAACACTCAAATTGATCACGAACGAGCCTATAAAGTTTCTTGGCAAGAGTTGTTTTCCCCAGACCGGGCATGCCAACTATGGAAACAACTCCATAATGCAAATCTTGATCAAGTAATTTGGCTTGTAGCATATTGAAGTCATCATCCAAACCGATGACCTCTGTTTCATCAGCATGAAGGAATAATCTTCTCCGGTCCGATAGAACACAATCATCATTATTGTTATCTGTATCTATGATGTTGTAAGTTGTCCTTATACGGTCAATGTCAATAACCCTTCTTTTTATCTTCTCAATCTCCATAGCAAACTCATCTGCAAAAGAAACCGTCTTAAGGCAACAAATTGCGTCTTTGAACTTATTGGATTGTTGAATTTTTGGAAGGAACTCATCTAAGAGATCCTCCACATTACCTGCCAATTCTTGAATATCTTTTAATAAGTTTTTCACCGTTGAATCTCCTCCAACTTCCTTGGCCTTTGCGTTGTCTACATATGATCGAATGTGTCTCATTTCTCTCTGGATCCAATCGATGTCCTCTTTCAACCAATATAAATGTTTTCCTTCTTGAATCAGTAGATTTCCAGCTATTTCTATAGATTTATTGATTACTGATGTAAGAAGAATTTCAGCCATTTTTTTTCTCTCTTTTTCCGTAGCTACAAAAAAATAAAACACCCGAGTATGAGCAGATCAGCTTAAACTCATTCAACCTATACTATTTGCTTTTGCTTTTGCTTTTGCTTTAGCTTTTTAGTGGTAGTTGGAGTCCACGGCCAAGTCTCCTAAT